AGGACAGGTGAAATATCATGTAAAGCAACCATAAACACATAGAAAAGACCTTAGGTTTACAATTTACTGATTAAAACTCTACTATCTACACAATATACATAGACATAAAATGTAAAAACTTAAATATCTTAGAAACAGTAGCCAATCAGTTGTTTTAATTGTCATATTTGAATTCAGCACATCAAAATACATAATAAATAGCACATTTTATCTCTGAAGCAGACGACTTCTCAAAAATTGTAGACCAGTGTTATCAAGATGTATTGACCTAGAAAGTAAATATTGATCAAGGTGATCCCAAGGTCAATATTTACCTTGTAGAATGATAAATGTCATTATTCAATTAAACAAGAAGTCGATATATGTATTGGGCCAGTCAGTCACCTACTGTAGGTTAGAATTCCATCTAACGGGACAAAGTTCCAGCAGGTTGTCCCAGACAAGTCTATTCTTAAAGGCCAGATGAAGCCGGGGGGACATAAGAGGCAAATAGTAGTTTTCACCGAACTTCGAGGCAGCTAGTAAGGTGCAACGATTTCCAACTGTATTCATTCCTCCAGACTTCAGTATTATCAACCTCTGAGATGTTAAACAATGTACATTTACTGGCTTGCCATAAGATTCTTTTCAGCCACTCATGAGGCAGAGTTTTTTTCTTGCACACAACATGGAGTGCTATATAAGACTTGCGATCTTGTAAGTGAATTAGGATGCAGGAAAGGGGACAGTCCTCTTAAATAATGAAATCTGTCTCTGATAATGCAGGATTGTTTCTGATGGACTACATAGATACCCGAAAATGAATATCTTTCTGTCTACCCAGGCACCTATACCATGCTCATCACTGGGTTCTGAGTCCATAAGCCACCTCCTGGAGACAGTGAACTGAAGACAGGTGAACTTGTACTTGGATTGACTAGCAGGCTTCAGTCAAATCCTTCAGCTGCCTGTGATAGCCCCAGACTTACCAAAGCTATCCCCAGCCACCCTGATAATGGTCATTCCAACTACTAAAGAATGCTTCTCCCATCAAATCAATCACACCTCTGCACATCCCAAACCCTCTTCCTTCTGCCAGCATTTTTGAAACCCTCTTTACAGCAAGATTTTTCAAATACCAGGGAAGAAAACACTTGAAGAATAAAAACCAAGAAGCAACTGACTGGACTAAAACCCAGACTCTGTTAACAGACACAGGATAAACTATTCACACACATCACACTCCAGTTACAGATGGAAAATCTTTCATCGGGAAATTTGTCCAAGGACCTCCAGAAACTAGTGCAATGTGGTCTATTACATAGGGCCCAGTAGCAGGAGACTTGGGGTTCTCTTCTGGGCTACATCACTAACCTGCTGCATGAGCTTGGGTGAGTTATCTCCTTTCTCCCTTTGACTGTCTTGTCTACTTTGACTGTTAGCATTTGGGGGCAAGGACTGTCTCTTGCTATGTGCTGTGTGCTTAGGGCTTCCAAGGAAACTGTAATAAGTAAGTGATCAAATACCCTCTATAAGGGCTTTTTCTAAACTAGTTTTAAATAGCCCAAGTGATGAGCTGAGTAGGGGGCGTTAGTCAAATCCTTCATTCCCCAGCTGGTTGTGATTGCTTTGGCAAGCCTGGGCGATCCTCAGTCTCCTTATTTCTCTTAAACTAAGCCAAGCCACGGATGACACTGAGCTTCAGGCAAGAGACCAAACAGGTCTGGTCCCAAATGAAACTGATCATAATGTTGCATGGCTCTCTCTGAAAGCTATGCTCGGCATTAACGGGCAGGGAACTGAAAGAAGTTCCCGTTCAGGTGACAGCACCAGAATGCATGGTGTCATGATGCTGACACTTGGGTTACAATGTCATCACCCCAGGCCACTAGCCTGGAAAAGTCCATACTCAGGGAGCCCATCCTTGGAGAAAGCCCATTCCTGGAGAACAGGTAGTAGGAGAGGCACCTACAGCTTTCCAAGATCAGTTGAGTTATACTGATTACTTTCAACCTCTGTTTTCAGGGCTGGTTCACGGTAAGTTTAGAATCACTCCAAGGTATGTAGAACTCCCCATGAATTCTCATGCGGGAATACAGAGAGGGGAAAAGGCTATAACACAATCCTAGTCTCTGAAATAAGAGAAGCAGATTTGACTGGCATTCTGAGCACAAGAGTGGGAACCAGGAGCTCCTGAATTCTATTGCTGGCTGTGACATAGACTCATGTGGACTTGGGCATGTCAGTTCAACTCCATGCCTCAGTTTCCCCATCTGTAAACCAGAGACAGTGAACTAGATTCACCCAGCTGCTGAAGTGTGGCAGGCATGTAAATTGCATCCGCTGTGCTAATGGGGGGACAGCTGTGCTCAAAGCAATCTCACCCCTTGATTTCCCACCCCGCAGCTTTAGTTCAGGGTCTGCCTTCCTGTCCAGGAGTCCCAGAAGCCCAGGAGATGCATATCCACTCCAGATGGGCTTCCCACCGCAGGAGGCCTTCTACCCTGAGTTATGTGGGAGGCTGTTGCAAGCCAGGGCATATATCCTAATAATTCGTGCCTCCAAGGAGTGCTGTGCAGTGAGGTAATGCCTGTGCAACCCACGGAAGTGTTTAGAGTGTGCTCTTCATCTAAGTGCTGTCAGGAAAATGATGTGCGCACAGAGGGAAATCATCACTGTGGCACATGGCAGTCCCTGAAACAAGCTGGGAATTCTTCATTCGTTATGGAGGCTCCCAGCAGGTCCCAAAGAGATCTTGTCCCTTATTACACAAGTACCACTGCACCCCTTTGTTGGATTCCAGCACAGCTCAGAGAGCAGAGCAAACCCAGTCCACTGGCCCCGCCCCCCACCACAGCCCTGCAGTCTCTGAACTGCCCCTCCAACTCTGATCATGCCTGGAAAGATCAAGTTAACATTTCCTCCGTGGGGCAGGGAGGGAAGGGGAGGGAAATACGTTGTACAGCAGCAACCGCCCCAGTGTGCTCGCTGCTAAAATGTCAGCTGGCAATAAAAGCTTTCCCCATAAATACTGTTTATTAACAGGGGAGACATTTAGTGCCTCGTACACGCTGTGCTTCTCCAGGCAGATCGTTAAAATATTAAAGGGATGACACCATCAAGGTTGATGGCCCCGTCAGTCAAAAGGGAATATTTGCTTTCACAACATCCCACAGATCCATAAAACAAGCCCCACAACAGCCTCGGACTTGCCACTTTGCTCCTGGGGGAGCCCACAAAAAAAACCAAGCACAGAATCAGGGCTAGAGACCCTGCTGCCGCTGGCCCCCTCTTCCTCCCCAGCAGGGCTCTGCCTTTCTGATCCACTTTTATAGGGAGGAAAGTCTGTCATCTCTTTCCAAGCTGCTCAGAGAATAAGATTCTTGTGCAGTAAATTTTAATAGGTGGCCATTTGCAAGTGTAATAAACCCTCCCCTTTGGAAGGGGGAGCTGCAGGATTGAATTCAGAGACCCCTTTGCTCCAAGGCACACGATACTATCACAGCCTCATAAAGGCCTCATACCACAAACTATAAGCAGGCAGTGGAACTGTCATCTGCAGTTCAACCTCAGAGCGGGACAAACTGTCAGACATCTGGTTGACCTCAGGGATACAAATGCTGAATCCCATAGGACCTTCATTTGGTGGGACTGGGCAGAGTTAAGGCCTTGTCCCTGGCTTTAGGCCTCTAAGCACGGACACCAGTTGCAGATCTTGTGTCTGAAATCCATTTGGGCAGTGGGGATCAGGACCAGTGCAACTCTGAAACTAATGTCATCTCCCCCACACCTCCCCAGCAGCTGGTGTGTTCCCCAGAAGCCCACCTAAAAGCATGAGCCTTCTGGTTTACAGTTCACCTTTCATAGAGCACACAACAGTGAAAGCCAACAGATACACTTTGCACAGGATTCTAAAACACCACTTCTCTTCACTTAACAGCACAAGAGATACGCAGATCTAGACAAAATAATAAACTCACCTGTTCGTTTTCCCCTGCCTCAGATTCCTCACTGCTCTGGAGAGTTCTTTGGACTTAGGCAGAGTCCTCTGGGATATGCAGAATCCTTCTTCTGCGGGTAGCATCTCCTCCAGAACACAGAGCCTCTGGCCAAAAGCTCCACTTCCATGGCTGTGGGAGATCTCTTTTCTAACCTCCAGCCCCCTTTGTCATGTGACCACCTGATCAGCCTCACCAGGTGATCAGACTCCTAGAGGGTGATTTCATTGTCAGTTAACCTCTCCCCTGACAAACAAGTTTTTTTGGGTAGGAGTCAGACTATTATCTAGAGTGCTTCTATTTGACTAGAGGACACCCCAGATTTAACAATCCTCCATTACCCCTTGATTGGAATTCCAGCCCAACATGGAGGTAAAAAAACCAGAGAAGACAAACAAGCTGCAAAAATAGAGTTTGCCGTCTGCTAAAGATACATGCAGAGAGTCCATGATCTCACACAGCATTTCTAAGTTGTACGGAGACAGATTTTTCCCAGATTGTCAGACACAGGCACACTTGGCTAGCAAGTGACACAAGATCAGATCAGATCAGAAGCTTGCTGAGAGAAGGGAAAGTCTGTGAGCTAAGCATAGCTGCCTTACCAGGGCCCCCTTTATCTAGCTGACAGCAAAGACCTAAGCTTGAGGGCTGTCTTTTATATGTGCTCCCACAAATGGACCTGCAATAAACATGTGCTTTTGCATGTACAACTCCAGTGATTGCATGCCTGGTTTACTATTTACAGGGGGAAACAGATGCAGTTAGCAGGCTCAACTATGGGATCACTTTGGAAATTTGGCCCCACAGGTCAATTACAACTCAGGTCAGTGAGAACTACAGTATATTGATTCAAAGACTATTATACCCTGAGGCCAAGATCAGAAAAAATACCATAACTAGTGATTTTGGGTGCAAACTGGAGACACCTTAGAGGGCGTGCCTGGTATGGGGGTTAGGGAACAAGCAACCTACTCCAATCTGTACCCACATGTTGAACATCAAGAAACTCTGAAAAGGTGGCTAAAATTGGGCACCCCAAAATGACCAGTTACTTTTGGACATCTTACCCTGAAAAATCAAGGAGTACCCACTTGGATTTTGCTAATAAAATTATGAGCGTGAGAATAAAGAGTTTGCCATACTACATCAGACCCATGGTTCATCTTATACAGTATTGTACTTCCAACACCACCAGAGAATGTCAGCTGGAGGAGGAAACCACCCTTGTGGAGGCTGTACAGCGCTACTGGTGCTCTACCACTCTGGGACCAAGGCTGAGGATACCATCCATCTCCTTAGGGGAATGACTACATCTACAGCTAAAGTAGGGCAGGGTCATGGGCGGCAGGTGAACAAGCCATTGGAGGAGGCTAGCCCCTAGCCCCTCCCCCTGTACCCAAGGCCCCGCTCCTCCCCTTCCACCCCCCATCCCCTTCTGGAGTCCAGAGCACACACACCCCCCAGTGTGCCGGGCGGGTGGTACAGCTGGAGCGCCCCCAATCCCAGTGCCGGGTGGATAGGTGGTGCAGCACCCTCAGCCCCGAGCCTTGTGAGTACTGGCCCCAGCCTGCCTGCCCCAGCCTCTCGGCCATGGAAGAGCACCGGGAAGGGAACTGGAAGCAGGGAGGAGGGGGCCTGAGGGCAGAGCATGGGTGGGGCCACGCCAGGCTGTTTGGGAGACACAGCCTTCCCTGGCCTATGCTACCCACCACCCATGGGCAGGGTGACAGATATGGAAAAGGCACCTGCAGTGGTTTGTGCTGGCACTGCTCTAAAGGGCCTGGGGATTTATTACATATTGCAGGAAACCTATCTTGGACTTCTGGCCTAATGCATATAAGATCTTAAGGAGCAAAGATGTCTAATGAACAGCTCTCTGAGTTACAAATGACTAGGCCCTTAAGTTCCCTTGCTGGTTTAGATGGCAGAATTCTATATAGACAGAGTTGTGACATGAATGGGATGAGTGATGCTGTCTCCAGGAGCTCTGGAAGGGGTTGCTGTTATGAGGGCTATCTCTGTTTTCTTATAGTATTTTTATATTTGCTTTCCTCAGTTCAATTGCCTGTCAGAATAGGAAATTAGGAGTCTGGCTAGCAAAAGTCTCCGGCTTGTTATTGCAAAGTTAATGGCTGGCCAGAGCTTCACAATGAGGAAAGCATGGGCAGAATTCTGCAAGGCATCTCCTATGTGGCAGACACCAGACTTGCACATTCAATCCTGCACTTGCACCTGCAACCAAACATTTGTCTCTTTGTTAATTATTTGTATTATAGTAGAGCCGAGGGGCCCAAGTCATGGATCAGGATCCCGTTGCACTAGGTGCTGTACAAACATAGAACAAACAGATGGTCCCTGCCCCTGAGCTTACTATCCAAGTATAAGACAAGAGACAACAGGTGGATGCAACAGACAGATGTGTGAGGGGGGAAACCTATGAGACAATACCGATCAACAAGACGAGCAGTGGTCACTGTGGTGTTCAGTGATCACTCAGTACCTTAGGTGTTTGCAAGAGATCTGCTCTACTCTCTATCCAGTTGCAAGTAATTGAACATAACAACATAAGCTTGCCCAGACTTGGTGGCAGGAACTTCAGTGAGGGCTAGGAACACCAAATATGTATCCAGGGTCCCCGGCAGGCTGAGCAGCCTGTGCTTAAGCCCATGCTGCCAAGTCTTGCCACTATTGTTACCTGCACTAGCTAGATGAAAGCTGCCATAGCTATGCCTACCCACGCTGCAATCACACCTCCATTGGACACACCCTACATGGAATTTCTTTGCTCCAAGGCATGTGAGGGTGGAGGGACATGGGGTGGGTGTCATTTGGGGACAGCGCTGAGGTGCAATTAAGGCCCCGTTGGCCAGTGACCTTTTCTCCAGTTGCACAAGCCTGCCAGCATTTGTGCTCGGTGGGAGCGTGGGCTGTTCTTGGCTCTCCCAAGAGACAGTGGAATTTCCCTGAATATCTCCCTGGTTTCATTTTTTTGCTGTGGTTTTTGTGGTGTTTGTCTCACAGCAGCAGCTGCAGCAGTGGAGACATGAGCCCTCCTTTTCACCTCCTGCAGTTCTACCCTTCCTGATGCTGGAACAGCTGGGAAGGATTAGGTCTGGGAAAGCCCTGGCACCATGCCCAGGCCACTTCTCATCACCAATCAGAGAGGAATGTCACATCATTGCCTATCCAATCAACACCTCTGTTCCTCTTTTCTCTCTGCCCTCCCCTCTCCTCCCCTCTGGAGAATGCGGTTCTGCTTCACCAGATTAGATTTCTCCTACAAACATCCCATTGACTTAACTTTCCTTGAGGTGGATTTTGCCTTCTTAGGGATCTATTTATCCCCTGTTGCAGTCAGAGATCTTGGGGATATGCTGCCAGCATTAGGAAAATGTCCCCAGAAAAGCACAGCAAATCCCCCAAAGAAACAAAGGAAACTGAAAGTCCACCTCAGGAGGGTCAGACAAGACGGTAAGAAAGCTGGCAGCTGCATGCTAGCTAACCTTCTCCAGTTCCCAAGCAGCTAACCAGCAAGGCTGTGGCAAAAGTATGAACTCCACCACCCTTACCCCTCCCATAGTAATCCAAGGCTTTTCAAGTTCAGTCTTGCAAGGTGCTAAGGATCTCCTGGTGCTGGGGGGCTGACAATTCCCATGGACTTCAACAAGTCGCTCAGGGCTTTGTAGGGTCAAGTTTTACATTGGGGTGATTCCATCTAAATTAATTCAGTCACGTCAGGATGGAATTGGAGTAAGGCATGGGGTGAGTCAGGCCCGGTGTTTGTAGAGTGCATGAAGATAGTTTGATATAAGGTACTAGAGAAATGCAAAATATCATTCTTGCTCTCTGCATTTTAAAGTTCCCATTGCTGAAATACCTGGGCACCATAGGACTATAAAGAATAACGACCACATCCAAAGGAAGACAGAGAGCTATTGGTAGAATTAATCAAAGAGCCAGTGTGATCCAGTGCCTAGTTAGCCAAGTAACTCCCTGGCCTCTTCTACGTCACTCTACGATGACAAAACTTTGATTATTCACCCACCACATCTCCCACCTGTCTGCTGGTGTAGTCAGTAGGTTGACAAGTAGAGCTTTCTACCTATTACAGGCAGATTGCTGCACTGCAGTGCATATAAAATTACCCAGAACTGATGACTACCGTGATCAGAAAATGGAATTTCCATTCTTCAGGAGAAATCCTGACATTTTGACATTTGTCTCTGTTCTGAATTGGAACAAAAAGTTGAAATTTACCATGGAACAGAAATTCCAAAACAATTCAGTTCGGAACCATCGCATTGCTTCATTCCAATAAGGTAAAAACATTTAGATAATGTCAATGTGATACCAAAGTCTAAATGAAATTAAATGACAATAAAATCAAAACAAAGCATTTTTTCCTTATCAAAATGATTGACATTATTGAAACAAACTGAGAAAGTCAAAAGGATTCATTTAGACTTTCTCCTGTTGAAAATGTTGTTGATATCATTTTGGGACCGGCTCTGTTCAATATCTTCATCAACGACTTAGATATTGGCATAG